GATACAGACTAACACGGCTGCTACTCGGAAACCTGTTATTATAGGTGTTTCCTAGCTAACATTACTGAACAGGTAGCGTTAGGCTTGTCAATGCTAGGGTTTTTGGGGCAAGAATTCCCCATTATTGCTAATGCTGATGCAGCTAAAAACGTTAGTGCCCCTTACTGTAAAACACTTTAGTTCTCGGACTGTGCTGAGGAGAGCACTGCTTCTTTGAAATTAGTTATCAACTTGCTTTTTAATATTGACTTCACTATGATGTGCATAATTCCCAGCTGTGCATCATTGAAATGAGAACTTTTGCTCAGCATAAAATAATTACACCAGTCTAATGTGCAGCAGTGGCCAGAGTTGAAAATCCTCCGAATAAAAAGCTGAATACAAACCACTACAGTTCTAATGTACCTGCAGAGACTACCCGCTCAGCTGACTTTTCTCAGTGATGCTTTTGAAATAGATTTCATGAGATCTACCCAATGCTGGCAGCTGGCAGTATGGCTAAGAGTACAATATCTAATGCTGTCAGCTTTGTGGTTTAGATGGGATAATCTCACTAGTATATTTAGTACATTTGGTGCAATACATGTGAAATTTATGAACTACAGACTTTATACAGTCATGAGAACCAGTGACTATTTTTGAGTTTGCCTGGAGCCACTTGCTATTGATCTCCATTCTTATTCTCGGATATGAGATTCGCATTCCTGAGATTTATAGGCTCAGCCTTTTAAACAAGGTTTCAAACATCATTTATTTGTTATGAACTAGGTGGATTTCAAGTCACTTTTAGTGTAATTTCCTGCTAAGCATTATGGTCTCTGTACTATGTGATGCTAGGTAGAGCCCTGTAGCACAATGGAACACTGAAGAAAATTAATCAGTAATTTCGGATAGAGTACCAGAATAAAGTGTTGTGTGTGGGAAAGCCGGTTGGATAATCTCCTAAAAGGGCACTGTCACTTTCAGCAATGAAACTGATCTCTGCTATTATTTTGGAGAAGTAATTGGTTTGCAAATCTGTGAATCCTAAGTTGTCACCTATTACCAGCAGCAGACAAAATTCACTATTCTGCATGCCCTTGCTAGCTTGTAGTAATCAAGTTGAGGTATTTGGCTGCCGTGGATGTAGTCTCTTGCCTAAATAGTTTTTGCTGCTGAAAGTAAAAACACCTTCCTTCCAAGTTTACCAAGACTTTGCCCCTGGATGTGTTTGGTCAGGAACTCTGCAGAATGACTTGTTTGTTGGTTAATGAATAATTTATTCAGTTAAGATATTTCAGAAGGTGTGTTTATAGTTAATCTACAAAGGGCTAAACTATAATTTAATTACTGCAATCCATTTTGTGTGGCTGATAGTAAATTGACTTTATTTGCAATAATCAAGTCGTCTTCATGTTTAAAAGTTGCAGGATTGGGCCCAATAGAGGAGTAAAAGGATCTGGTTTATCCATGGAAACCTTGGATGATGCTGGGGAGAAAAGGAAAAATAATTGGCTAGTTTAAAAACTTTAAAATCAAGAGTTTGGTTTAGAAAATGTAGTACAAACCTCACACTTTTGTTGCCTCTCCTTTTTTCCATGATTGGTGACGGGACTCCGTAAGATGCGCCAGTTGGACAGATACTAATATCTCAAAACAACGACTGTCACATTTTAGTAAATGAAGTTCTGTTGACAGTTAATAATAGTATAATTATTGTACTCCATAGAGAAAAGTAGGATTAACACTTACAACCCTCTCCTAGATTCTAGAATGTAGGCGTTCAATAGACAAGAAAAGTACTATAGATTAATATACTGGGTGCCAATAAGAGAGAGAATTTAAATCTCCATTGAATGACAGTAGATAGCTAATTGTATGTGTGTGAAAAGAGTCAGGTTTCACACACTTAAAAATAGAATCCTTCCACTCACTGACAGTTCAATCCCCTTTGCCATCTCTGCTTAAACTGACAATGGGAGTCAGAAATGGTGATAGTCTTCATGTTGAGGATACCTGTCCATTAAGAATTGTACTGAATTCAATTGACAAAGACCATTAAGCAGCCAGCCAATCAGAATAAATTTTGGTTATATCAGCTGGACCAAATCTGATCTATTGCTCTAGATGTGAAATATCGCATTGCCTATTTCTTGAGCCATCCAATATGACTTGCATAAGGACTTAGCTATGTGTCTCCCATAACATTAACAGGAATACTTTGGCTAACTCAACGTGTTTGGGTTGACTCTACTACAGTGGTACGCAAACTCTTCCACTTGCCTCCCCCTCTACCATTCCTGGAATTTGTTGTGCCCCTCCTCCAGTTGTGCCCCATTGCCACCCTTACTTCTCCGCTGCTGCTGGCGGCAGCGTTGCCTTCAGAGCTGGGCAGCCAGAGAGCGGCGGCTGCTGGACGGGGCATTCATATTGTTTGTGGCATGGGAGGACTATTTTTTTTTTTTTTTAATCCTGCTCCCATCCCACGCTGAAAAATTCACTCCCATCCATTGTGTGTTAAACCTTTATACCGCTACTGCAATTATGACAGTGGGTTCTGTGGAACCTGTGGGATCCTGCAGGACCCTCTGCCTTAATAGTAGACGCAGGATAAAAATTCAGAGTGGGTATTATGGGATAAAAATAGAGTGAGTATTGCGGGGTATTCTGTATGAAAATAAATGTTGTGGATTTTTTCCCCCTCTAAATCATTTGAAAATTAGGCTAACGGTCTGAACAATCCACCATTGAGATTTCAGCTGAAGCTATCCTCTAACTACAGTACATCTGAATAGATTTTATTTACTTTTTCAAACATTGCCTCTGCATTATATTTCATGCTCTACCTGCTGCATTATCGAAGGACAAGTTCCTGTAAAGGGATGGATTTAAATTATGATGTACAAGATAATATTGCTTTGATCTGATGCTTAATCAGCCTAGATTTATGGCGAAATGATCTAATCTGAAATCAATATTTGTGAACTCTGGACTCACAAGCAGTTCTGGCAAACACATCTGATCAAGTTTGTTTATTTCAACATATGCTGTGACAAAAACATACTCAATTGTCACTTGGCTGGGATGAGATTCATTATGAATGTTCTAAAAAAAACCTTGCGCTATCGGGTTGATATAGGCTTAAACTGAAGATCAATAGAAATGTTTCCACGGTGGCTCAGTTTAAAGGTCCAATCAAAACAAATTCCAGAATAAATAGTGAACACTAAACTAGCTCTGTAGCTTATTAAATCAGAAGGCATTTTAAAGTGTTTTTAATGTGTGAAATGAGTTGACTTTTTTTTTAACTTGACAGCATTTTTTAGATACAGAAACGCAACAAGCCTTGCACTAGAGCAATGCAGGTACAATGAAAACTTTCACAAATGTGGGATCATGCTGCCCGCAAGCCTGTGACCCCCTACCTGCCTCCCCACCCTGTTTTAAACCAGGAACCTCATCTCAAATGTAAATGACTCTTTTCTTGTTGAGCTCTTGTGGTGAGAGTCTGTATGCCAAAGAACTGGTGTAGGGCCCAGAAAACTCTCTGTTCCTGCCACTTCATTCAGGTGTGTGTGTGGGGGGGAGGATTGCGCTCTTTCAGAGCTTCTGTTCCTCCTCCTCTCTCCCCCCCATATGTGTATATCCAGGGCACCATGATAGCATTGTTTTTGCAGTAGCTGTACTGGCCACTGCTCCTGGATCTCCATTCAGAAGAGCAAGATAAGGTTGCATTTCTCAGCATTTATTGTACTAACTTATTTTCCCCACAGCTTTGTGGAGAAGGAAGCTACGATGCCTCTGATATCAACTGTGCCAGCCACCCCACCCTCTTTGGCACATGTAGAGCCCAACCCCCTAGAAAGCCCTGGTGGAGGAACTTCTGCAGGGTTCTATGAAGGAGATAATGCTGTGGAGCTCTTGCTCTCTAACCCCCCTTCCACATCCGTTACACCACGCCCTGTTTGTGGAATCAGTGGGGGACTATGCTCCATAGCTAATGTTCTGACTAAATGCTTTTCCCCCCAGTGAAAATGAAGCTGCTATAAATCCCATTAATTTAGAAAAAAAGTCAGAAAGGTTTTGTGAAGGGGAGGGGGGGGAAGAGGGAGAGACTAGTAGTAAATATTTTATATTATGATAGCGTCTAAGGGCCTCAGTCCAGGTCTGGGCCCCATTGTGCTGGGCGCCATGCAGACATAGCAAAGACAGTCCCTGCCCAAGTTGGCTTCAAATCTAAAACCCCAGACAGATGAAGGGGTAGGTTATGGGGATCCAATGATACAAGCATATAGTCGGGAAACATTTGGGTGCTTGTCAGCCTCTTTGAACCTTTCCTGTCTTCCTCACAGCTCTCTGGCCTGCTCTGACCCAGTAAATGTGTCTCAATCTCCATTGTTTCTGTGTGGTCACAATAGCCAAAAATGACTAGGGGTCTTTGGGTGCCCAACTTAGGCTCCCCCTCTGGTTGTCTTGATTTGCATTGGTGGGTGATCGGCCCTTTCTGAAAATTAGGCCCCTTTAAGGTATCTCATGTTGGGTGTCCAAAAGTACCCCCCACCTCCCAGGGGTGTCTGCGTCAACCATTGTGCTGCACCCAGCTGTCATCAAACTCCGACTTGTCTGCTCTGTGGTCACATGTCTCAGAGTGCATTGTAGGTCTGATAGAACGGGGGCGGGGGGGAGAGGGGAGAGGAGAGGATTAAATTGGGGCCAAATAGGGAGGCAGCTAGAAGCCTTACAGAAACCATATTGAAGGGATAGCAAGGTTCCTTATCCTGACTTCTATGAAGTCAGTTGTAATTTTGCCCATCCCTAGAAGAGAGGAGGTGATTCCATTTTTTTCTTTTTTGCTGTCTGTAAACTATGCTTCTGGGTAGCGAGCCGTCGCTGTCTAATTAATATACTATGCCTAGAAGT